TGACCAGGCTAAATGGTAAACAGAGTGTCAGCTTGACGAACAACATGCTTTGTACAAGTGGCCAGGGCATGTTTATCAAAAGGTGCATCTGGCGTGTGGATATGCAATTCAAAGAGAAAAACCAGCTCTTGAAGAATGGCATACTTGTCCCAACATTACAGCGACAGAAATAGGCAATTTGTGGGCGTGTCCCAATGTTACAGTGACAGAAACATGTAACTTGTGGGCCTGTCCCAAGGTTACAGTGACAAAAACATGTAACTTGTGGGCGTGTCCCAATGTTACAGTGACAGAAACATGTAACTTGTGGGCGTGTCCCAATGTTACAGTGACAGAAACATGTAACTTGTGGGCGTGTCCCAATGTTACAGTGACAGAAACATGTAACTTGTGGGCGTGCCCCAAGGTTACAGTGACAAAAACGGAACTTGTGGGTGTGTCCCAATGTTACAGTGACAAAAACGTAACTTGTGGGCGTGTCCCAATGTTACAGTGACAGAAACAAAGTAGAAAAGTCTCCTCTCTTGGTGCGGCTGAAATGAATAGAGTCACAGCCTCATGGGATATACGGACATAAATACTAACGTACTAAAAGCATAAGTGACTCTCCGCCACACGACCCCAGGAACCTGCGAGGGGTAGGACCAGACCGAGGCAGCCTCACTTTGATTGTAGAGTGAGTATAAATTATTTGATTACGACACGTCTACAGCAGAACAGTCTCAAGTCACATGGCACTCTGCCCACGTCTCTTCTCAATACAATCAGTCCAGGCGTATCAAACGTGGCGACAGTGCCCCCTGGTGGTTGGTAGAATCATCACACTCCCTACTTTTTTTCATCGATTGTTTTTAACAAACGTATCCAGAATGTCCTCGGCCATTTTGAGGTTGTTGTGCGACACTCTCAAGGCCTCCACTGCTTTGAGGCGATCGTAGCCCCGGTCTACGAGTATGGTGACGTGCTCCTCATTTAAACTGCCCACAATCGTTCCATTGTTCTCCTTGTTTAGGTCCTGGTTCTCTCGCAGTCCCTCGCGCCGAGCGGGCAGGGGAATATCATTCACATCTCCACTGAAACAACACACACATCCAATACTAATTAACCATACTTGATGGTTCCAGCTGTCACAGTAGTGTAGAATAGTGGGCAGATCGATCTCATTAACTCATAGAAACAACATCAAAATACTATCATACATTCATATTTTCCCAACAAACACATGTAATTATTTTTGATTTTGTATTTATTTTGTGCCAGATGTATGCTCATCTTTTTGTATCGTAACCATGCATATTTATGCACATGTCTTCAAGTTTGCACGTACATCTTGAACTATCACCCAACCTACATTCCATATCAGTAAAAGAGCTGGAATGCAGGGGGATTACAGGATCCTTCCCCTTCAATGACTCGATATACACTCCCCATCAATGATTCCATATACCCTACCCCTCAATGACTCGATATTCCCTCCCCATCAATGACTTGATAAACCCTCCCCCCTCAATGATTCCATATACCCTCCCCTCAATGATTCCATATACCCTCCCCCTCATTGATTCTATATTTCCTACCCCTTAATGACTCCATATACCCCCCCCCCCCCCCCCCCGTCAATGATTCCATATACCCTCTCCCCCTCAATGATTCTATAGTCCCTCCCCTTGTGAAAGGTGGAGGTGTTTGTCCGTGGGGTGAAGGAGTGTAATAGTGGGGTGGAGGTGTGGGCCTGTGGGGTGAAGGTGTGTCATTGTGGGGTGGAGGTGTATGGGGTGGAGGTCTGTGGGATGGAGGTGTGGGATGGAGGTGTGGGTCTGTGGGATGGAGGTGTGGGTTTGTGGGATGGAGGTGTTGACCTGTGGGATGGAGGTGTGGGATGGAGGTGTTGACCTGTGGGATGGAGGTGTGGGATGGAGGTGTTGACCTGTGGGATGGAGGTGTGGGATGGAGGTGTGGGATGGAGGTGTTGGATGGAGGTGTGGGATGGAGGTGTGGGTCTGTGGGATGGAGGTGTGGGATGGAGGTGTGGGCCTGTGAGGTGGAGGCGTTGGTATACGGGGGAGGTGTGTGACTGTGGGGGAGGTGTGTGACTGTGGGGGAGGTGTGTAACTGTGGGGGAGGTGTGTGACTGTGGGGGAGGTGTGTGACTGTTGGGGAGGTGTGTGACTGTTGGGGAGGTGTGTAACTGTGGGGGAGGTGTGTGACTGTGGTGGAGGTGTGTGACTGTTGGGGAGGTGTGTAACTGTGGGGGAGGTGTATGACTGTGGGGGAGGTGTATGACTGTGGGGGAGGTGTGTAACTGTGGGGGAGGTGTGTGACTGTGGTGCTGGTGTGTGACTGTTGGGGAGGTGTGTAACTGTGGGGGAGGTGTGTGACTGTGGGGTTGAGAGGCTCAGGTTTGCTGTACTTACTGTGACTGAACAGGAGCTGGCTGTTTGGCCCTGGGCATATGGGCAGGTGGGCAGGCATATTCACTTGGAAGTCGATGTAACTGGGGGGGAGCGTTTCCTGTCACGGAGAAAATAGTTCCTGTAAAATGTGAGTGAAGCATGAGGAAAGCATTAGGCAAAGCATGCTGGGTAAGCAAATAAGGGCAAGCACAGGCATGCAACTTAAAAACAGCAGAGTCAAGCATGACAAAAATTCAACATAAAAAACAAAATATGGGAACAAAGTGTTTGTTCACATGAATGCTTTGCATGAAAGATCAAGTCAAACATGTTATATATGTGCCAAAGTAATATATTTCTACCTCAACAAGTGCATCACGTCTCAAGAAAGTCGAGAGAACATTGCATACAACTATTCAGGGATATGTTAAGTGCATCGTAAAACCTTCCAGAATTGTTTTGTTGAGGAATTGGTGAGAATTAGAGCCCTAAGTTCTTGTGATTGTGCAGCCTAGTGTTAATGTCAACATCCATGCAGAGGTGTTTACTCATTCAGCCATCCGGGAAGATCCCGTAGAATCCCGGGTAGAATAGGTCTTCAGCAACCCATGCTTGCCTTAAAGGGCGACTATGCTTGTCGTAAGAGGCGACTAACGGGATCGGGTGATCAGGGTTGCTGACTTGGTTGATGCATGTCATCGTATCCCATTCGTGTGGATCAATTTTCATGATGTCAATCACTGGAATGTCTGGTCCTGGCAAGATTATTTACAGACTACCGTCATATAGCTGGAATATTGCTGACTGCGGCGTTAAACAACAAACACACAAAACAAACAAAACTCATTCAGCAGATAATGAGAGTGAGTGAGTGAGTGATGACTGCATTACTCCAGCTCTATCCCTATGGCAGGCTGTGAGTAATGGACCAGACAAACCAGTGACTGAAAGGATGTCAGTAAATCCCCACCATCAGGGTACACAGACACACCATCAACCCTGTCACAGAGAACTCATCCCAGACTGTAGGTGATGGGTCACTAACTCTACGCAACTGCATGGTACTCAAGATGAGTGAGTGAGTGAGTGAGTGAGTGAGTGAGTGAGTGAGTGACCCTGTCACAGAGAACTCATCCCAGACTGTAGGTGATGGGTCAGTAACTCTACTCTACTGCATGGTACTCAAGATGAGTGAGTGAGTGAGTGAGTGAGTGAGTGAGTGAGTGAGTGAGTGACCCTGTCACAGAGAACTCATCCCAGACTGTAGGTGATGGGTCAGTAACTCTACTCTACTGCATGGTACTCAAGATGAGTGAGTGAGTGAGTGAGTGACCCTGTCACAGAGAACTCATCCCAGACTGTAGGTGATGGGTCAGTAACTCTACTCTACTGCATGGTACTCAAGATGAGTGAGTGAGTGAGTGAGTGAGTGAGTGAGTGAGTGACCCTGTCACAGAGAACTCATCCCAGACTGTAGGTGATGGGTCAGTAACTCTACTCTACTGCATGGTACTCAAGATGAGTGAGTGAGTGAGTGAGTGAGTGAGTGAGTGAGTGAGTGAGTGAGTGAGTGAGTGAGTGAGTGAGTGAGTGAGTGAGTGAGTGAGTGACCCTGTCACAGAGAACTCATCCCAGACTGTAGGTGATGGGTCAGTAACTCTACTCTACTGCATGGTACTCAAGATGAGTGAGTGAGTGAGTGAGTGAGTGAGTGAGTGAGTGACCCTGTCACAGAGAACTCATCCCAGACTGTAGGTGATGGGTCAGTAACTCTACTCTACTGCATGGTACTCAAGATGAGTGAGTGAGTGAGTGAGTGAGTGAGTGAGTGAGTGAGTGAGTGACCCTGTCACAGAGAACTCATCCCAGACTGTAGGTGATGGGTCAGTAACTCTACTCTACTGCATGGTACTCAAGATGAGTGAGTGAGTGAGTGAGTGAGTGAGTGACCCTGTCACAGAGAACTCATCCCAGACTGTAGGTGATGGGTCACTAACTCTACTCTACTGCATGGTACTCAAGATGAGTGAGTGAGTGAGTGAGTTTGGTTTTAAGCTGCTTTTAGCAATATTCCAGCAATATCACAGCAGGGGACACCAGAAATGGGCTTCACACATTGTACCTATGTCGGGAATCGAACCCGGGTCTTCAGCGTGACGAGCGAACACTTTAACCACTAGGCTACCCGACCACCCTGGTACTCAAGATGAGTGAAGGACCCAACTGGTAATTGTTGTTTATAACCATCCCAATATTTAATTATATACTTTATAACTGTGTGGTTTAAATGGTATTGTCTTTAAAAAACAACAACATAAATACAAAATAGTACACAGGGTGGAAATTAACGCTCACCAATAGGCCCGAGGCCAGTAGAAAATACCTCGGGCTAATATAATCATACTTCTACTTGGCTATAGGCCCTGTTTTTTTAACAAATGCTGTTAATTATCGCCTCTCGATTCTGGCATAATCTTTCAAGTCTTAAAAGATTGAGTTAAAAGATTAGTTAATAAATATGGCAAATACTTGCCCGTTTTCACCATGTGTAAACTTTGATGGACACCTGTACCGAACTTAAACTTGCTGACCTGCTGTCTGCTGTATAGGTAACCTATACCTAACAAGTATGCTACAAGACGTGCTACTCCATGTATAACTCTAATGTCATATACTGAACTGAATAAAAAATATTTAAAAAAAAGAAAAAAAAGAAAAAGAAAAAAAAGATTTAAATTTAAGAGTCTGCTTAATTTTTAAGGACTAGTAACAATTCCGAAAGGCCTGTGTTTTTCGAGTTAATTTCCATCACTGGCACGGCACAAGACAGAAGACAACTGATCGTGACAGTGTGACCACATGACTGTGAGACAGTGTGACAGTGAGACTGACCAAGACTTCAGCGTCACAAGCAGAGACATAAGGGTCAACACATGAAGCTTCAGGATATTTTCTGAGTATGACATATCTCACATGGGATAATATCTCACCGTATTCAAGTTACCAAGACAACAGACAAGTATTTTATTGAAATGGCGATAGGAGTTCTATAAGCATGCACGTCAAGCCCATGGTGACTCCAGGCCATATTAGGTGCCCACTACCCTATGCCTGTGGTAATACTGCTGATTCAGCACCTATCTCTCCATAGGGGACACAGCTGATGAGTGAATGTATGATGAGTAAATGTATGCTTGTGGTAATACTGCTGATTCAGCACCTATCTCTCCATAGGGGACACAGCTGATGAGTGAATGTATGATGACTGAATGTATGCTTGTGGTAATACTGCTGATTCAGCTCCTATCTCTCCATAGGGGACACAGCTGATGAGTGAATGTATGATGAGTAAATGTATGCTTGTGGTAATACTGCTGATTCAGCACCTATCTCTCCATAGGGGACACAGCTGATGAGTGAATGTATGATGAGTGAATGTATGATGACTGAATGTATGATGAGTGAATGTATGATGAGTAAATGTATGCTTGTGGTAATACTGCTGATTCAGCACCTATCTCTCCATAGGGGACACAGCTGATGAGTGAATGTATGATGACTGAATGTATGATGAGTGAATGTATGATGAGTGAATGTATGATGACTGAATGTATGATGAGTGAATGTATGATGACTGAATGTATGCTTGTGGTAATACTGCTGATTCAGCACCTATCTCTCCATAGGGGACACATCTGATGAGTGAATGTATGCTTGCACACATCTCACATATGGCATATACCACACAGACATCCTTGGAGTAGCATAATATTTGTATTACTAAGTAGTGTAAGTATCACACACAGACATCCCTGGAGTGGTATAATACTTGTATTACACAGCAGTGCATATGACATCACACAAACATCCTCGGAGCGGTATAATAACGCAGTGTATATAGACAATACAGACAAGATGCAGAAGGTGGTTATCTGTAGCAATATGTAGCATTTAGTCTCCAGTAGTTAAGCACAGCAGACCACTGCTCTCATAGATCTTATACGGTTTAGACACAATAATGCATACTGCAGACAGAACAAGAGATCAATATAGAAGTGGCGAAGGGAACAAAGCAAATAGCTGCCACAGGAAAAAGCTCATATAATGAGATCACTGCCTAAGGCATAACTTTTGCAGAGTCTCAAAACCTAGCTTACATAGCCTCCACTTCCCGTCTTGACCCCTCCCTGTTATTGTCTGGTAACTACACAGTGATTAATGGCTTTCCTGCTTGGGTATATCTGCCCCTAACATTGCCTATTGCCACTGAATTCCCCAACCCCTTGTGTAAGGATGCTGGTATGCTGATGCCGTACCTCCCTCAGGTGACGGCGGGTGTTTGGAGATGCCCTCCGACGTGGGGGAGGTGTTGATGAGGGGGTGCACGCCAGGCAGGGGTTTGTCGTAGTGCGAGTCCGGCTCCGTGTCAACGGTCTTCACAGTGTGGCCGGGGATGTCGTACCTTAGCTCCGCATAGGACACTCCTGAAACACAGGCTACATCTTAGACACTGCCACCCTTCCCTCTAAACACTTACTACACCTGCACCCAGAAGCCGAACTTGAGTTAACATTCCGCTGCTACACAGTGGGATCCTCTGGAGCCACAAGGGGTTGAGTTTAGGGGTTAGAGGTTCGTGGACACCATGTGAGGAGATATTCTCAAGCTAAACATTAGTGTGATGTTACTTTCTGTACACTGACTTTTACCAGACACAAGACATAAACTAGGCTCTCCACAAGGGAACGTTCCCATCTAATGTGCGAGAGTGGGGTGTATGAGAGGGTGGAATATGAGAGTGGGGCGTTGGAGCGAGTGGAATATGAGAGAGTGGGGCGTGGGAGAGAGTGGGTGAGTGAGTGAGTGGGTAAGTGAGTGAGTGGTAGCTAGCAGCAGCCAAGTGTTCAGGTGTGTGTGAGGACAGCTGTATCTAACCTTGGTCCTTCTCTGCGGGCGTCACGTTGATGACCGTCCTCTGGGGTACTGTCGGCCGCTGGAGGCGTGGCGTGTCTTCGTCGTCTGCTGGCGGGGTGGGTGGAAGCTGACGTCTGTCAACACAACACAACACAACACATCTCGTCACTCAGCAAACACAGAAAACCTCACACATAATGGAGAAACTTTCGAATACTGACAGTAGTGCTTAATGTTTGTTTGTGTGCTCTCAGCCATGAACACTGGGCCAGACAAACCAGTGATTAACACAAAGACTAACATCCCATGTAGTCAGAGTATGACACAGCAAGTCTGTTTGTCTGTTGCTTAATGCCACACTCAGCGCTATTCAAGCAATGTGACGGCAGTCTGAAATATTTGTTTGTTTGTGTGTTTGTTTGTTTGTTGTTTAACGCCGCACTCAGCAGTATTCCAGCTATATGACGGCGCCTGTAAAAAAATCGAGTCTGGACCAGACAATCCAGTGATGGACATCATGAGCATCGATCTAAGCAATTGGGATCACTCACTCACTCACTCACTCACTCACTCACTCACTCACTCACTCACTCACTCGGTACACCAGTGTTGGGTACCTGCGACATAATAACGCTTCGTTCAGTTTAGCAACTGTTTGATGCGTCCATATAATCACCATGGCTGGGCGGGTGCGCTTCGCGAGACGAGTATGAACGTTATCAGCCAGGCGAACCAGAGCAGGGTCCCTTTTCACAAAGCGATCGTAGGGCTACGACTACCGTAACTCCTATACCTTAACATAGACTTACGACCGTCTTAGGTCTACGATCTCTTTGTGAAACGGGCCCGCAATGCAGACTGGACGCCAATCCGACACGAAACACATGTACGGATTCGGACCTCTTCTGATCACATAGCCAACCAACATAATACTAAGTTTTAATTAGCCAAGTCATTCATTATGCGATGCATACATATATATTTGGTAATTCCCTGAAGGTATCCCTAACCAGTAAACAGGCAAATAACATTGTCTAACGTGGAGCTGATCAGGATGATATATTAAATTTGTACTTTCATTGATTGAAATGTATTTATTTCGATTCAGGTTTAAACACGTTGCAAAGCACAGATCCGGATGACAGACACAGCGGTTTTCTGGAGCGTTTCGATATAGAGTTCACGCCCTTGTCAAGCTGAATGACTGTAAGAATGAACATGGATACTTCCCTGGATGCGAAAGTAAACACAGAAGTGCTTATCCACTGAAGTTTTCTTATTTACTCACCAACTTGTTGAATGCCAATAAAACAGTTTTGTCTTACTCTATTTTGTATATTTTTATTTTTAGTTCTTGATTTTTTTGTTCATCATAAGTAAGAGCTTGTGTTTGAGTAATGAATACGCCCGTAATTCTTTCTCGTGAAAGCTTAACACCAAACGCAAATCAGTTTGAATATATGTATTTTGATATGATGATAATGATCGCACAACACAGCCAGATGTTATGTTATTACCTATATGACTTATATATGAAATACATGAGCGAAAAAAACTGATTGTCATAGTATAGTCAAGCAGTGTGAAGACTGATACCATGTAGTGCAGGTAAAATATTATTTGAATGCCTTCACACGGGCACTGACGAAGATTGTACAGGGTTATACTATACCTTTGTTTAAGCTGCGCCCTTAAGACGAAACGACTGCATTAGCATGCCGAAGCTGTTGTTGTTGTCGTGGTTGTGATTGACTGCCAGACATGAGGCCGGATGACTCGGGGCACATGCGGTTGTATGTTTGGTTATGCCTGAAATTGTCTGCCCTTTGACTGCTTGGCTTGGAGTGAGTTGCCCCTTTCGGCCTTGCTCGGGGGGTGGGGAAAGGTGGTCGGTGGAGCAGCGCATACTGCGTACCAAATTAGTTGACAACGTTGCGGAAGTAGTTCCTGGATGAATACTACACATTGTATAATACTTGAAGTTTTGTAAATACGCAACAAAAGCCTAAACCACAAAGACAGACGCGACGGATAAAATGGAAAACCAAAAGAACAAAGCTTTTCGTTGATTATGAATAATATTTCTGGAATATTGTATGTTATATTTATATAAATTCTACCATTTCTCAGCGCACTATTTAAACTTTAAATTAAAAATTCCTTTTACTATAAGTTATAACCAATGATGGATGCATGTCGATGAATCTCATATGCACGACAGTTCATTTGGTAAAGCTTGGATGGTGTCGTCCGCTGTCCGTTGTCCGTCGTCTGTACGTCAACAATTGATTCCATCGACTTCTTCCTCTGAACCACTTATTGGAAATAAACGAAATGTGACTGAAAGCATAACATGGCGGGAATTAAAAAATTACAAATGGAGGGGCTGACACTATCCCCCCCACCACCACACACAGGGGGGCTGAGGGGCAGGGCCACATAGGGGTATTTGGATATATTGATTTTAGGGACTTCTTCTCTAGAACTAAGAGATAGATATCAACCATATATTGTTGGAAGCATACTCCGATGGGGAGAATTCAAATTGTACAGTGGTTGATCGCCTCGGCGCCCCCCCCCCCCCCTGCCACCCCGATCCCTCCCTCCCTTTACAATGGTGTAGGAGTAATGGCCCATACACCAAGTACGGATCGAGTGATCAGATGAACTGAATGACCCTTCTCAAAAACAATTTCTTAAAACATCAATAGTCTTTACATATACGTCTCTTCACGCACATCTTGATAGCACAGAGGGAACGTTGCTGCGCTGACGATGACAAGGTTTCACGTTCCAAACGCATAGGAGTTGATAATCATTTTTTCACGTGCAAACCTTATAGAATAAAGTTCACTTCAAACACCCCGTGAGAGGAAAGTGTGACAATGTGTCAATGAGGTTTGTACCGCCCATCAATCACATTGTTGTAATGATGCTTGGCTGAAATGGCAGTACTATTGCGTAGTCCTGTATAGATTTCTGGAGCAAGATGGCTTTACTATTGGTGTAAAAAAGGTATTATAAATACCACAGGATTGGATATGGCTCATATCTACCATTTAGGTTTGTTTCGTGCCGTGCCGGCTGGGCTGGGCTGGGCTGGGCTGGGCTGGGCTTCAAGTTTGTATTAACAATATGTGCCGTGAAAACAGCTGGCCAGGTCAATAGGAAAGAACCAACTAATGCGGCAGAAAAATAGTTGAAACATAGATATCTGAAATATAGCTAAAGTTTAATACTGTGGCTCCAAGTCTGATCCAAAGTATGAGGTGTAGCAGCCAACGAATGTTCATTGCCTTTAACGTTCTCTGATCATGTCTTACTTAAGTTTAACGCCACCGTAAAACATTCATTCAGCAACGCATGTATATATTTACAAAAGATAATTACAAGCAAGGAATCGAACTCCCCATCACAGTTTCAAATAGCGCGACTCGCTGCCGTATGCGCAAAACACATCTCTGTCAATGGGTGTGTCAGTTTCCCTGTCATACCTTCACATTTTGGGAGGTACGCGAAAGGAATCAGGCATGCACGTGTTCATTTGGTTATGCGCGGGAGTATACAAATTGTGGTTCCAGGACAATATGTTTCCAGAGTATATTTGTTTGCCAAAATAATCTAATAATTGACAAGAAGTGCAATTAATATGTCTATATTATAAAGGTGTGAATGTAAGGGGGAAATGTTAGGTCTGACCAGCTTATTAGTAGGTAATTGCCTTGCAGTCAAGTCAACAACAAATATAATTGCTTTTATTTCTTAATAGTCCAGGCCCTTAAGGGGATAGCTCGCGTTGTGTCTACAAGCACCAAATTTCGCACAGGTGTAGACCAGAACATACTAAATTCACCTTTGGAGGGCAAATAGCATTGAACATGATACAAAACATCACCAGCATGGGCATCTGCAGCTGGTGCAATAGATTTACCCTTCAACTGGAAGTTATCATTAGACTTTGCCCAGCTTTTTAGATGTGCATCTACGGTGTCAGTTGCCACCTTCCGTATATTGGTCTGGTCATCTCCATCACAGATAATGCAGCATTTAACATTACTGCCTTTTCCATAGGATGCCCCCGCTGATCTGAATTTTTGGGGTGGACTCTGTGTTCATGTTTTTGACGCAGCCTCTTCTTACGAGAACTACTACAGTAGCTCCTACATGATTTTTGATACTTAGCATTATAGGATCTGAGTGTTGCAACAATACCTGATCCATTTTTTACTTGGTCAAAGAAGACTGAAATATCCAACTGAACGGCATTGATTTCCTTAAAGTCAGTCAGGTTTCTGCCAAGAGTGCAAAGTCCTTCTGCCTTTGGTGTTTGCAACTCTTCACTTTTATCTGACTGGCAAACACAGCAAAGTCCCCTACAGAGATGGAAATATAGGAATACATTCACTGGACAAGTAGCCATATACGACACCTACGTGTGATTAATGCACAATTAGTCATGACCACCTATATCAGCGTTTCTTGAAGAAGTAAAAATACATGCAAGGAACAATTCATGTGACCTTTATGTGTTCAGTAATATAAACCATCAACCACCAGCAGTGCATTATACTCATTTGCAGACCAGAAAATAACATTATTATGTGACATCCAAATTAAACCTGAACCTTAAGTATGCCCCTGGAAAACCTCTGGACAAAGCGTATTTTGTATGTCAACACAAAGCTCAAAAACCTATGAAAAGAGCCTTCATTCATGATTCTATGACTTTTGGTTATTTAAATAGGACAGGATCCAATAGGGATTGGCGGCCATCATGGATTTTACTAATATGGCGGCCCCATTGATCACCGGCTTTGGCGCCCTCCAAAAATGAAGTTCTGGTCTACACCTGTCTACACCTACAGATGTCCTGGTTCCCTAACCCTAAGTCTGTTAAAGGGGAGCCCTACCGATGTCCTGGTTACCTTACCCTAAGACTGTTAAAGGGGAGCCTTACCCTTATCCTGATTCCCTAACTCTAAGACTGTTAAAGGGGAGCCCTACCCATGTCCTGGTTACCTAACCCTAAGACTGTTAAAGGGGAGCCCTACCCATGTCCTGATTCCCTAACCCTAAGACTGTTAAAGGGGAGCCCTACCCTTGTCCTGATTCCCTAACCCTAAGACTGTTAAAGGGGAGCACTACCCATGTCCTGATTCCCTAACCGACTGCTAAAAGGGAGCCCTACCTTTGCCCTGATTCCCTAACCCTAAGACTGTTAAAGGGGAGCCCTACCCTTGCCCTGATTCCCTAACCGACTGCTAAAAGGGAGCCCTACCTTTGCCCTGATTCCCTAACCCTAAGTCTGTTAAAGGGGAGCCCTACCGATGTCCTGGTTACCTTACCCTAAGACTGTTAAAGGGGAGCCTTACCCTTATCCTGATTCCCTAACTCTAAGACTGTTAAAGGGGAGCCCTACCCATGTCCTGGTTACCTAACCCTAAGACTGTTAAAGGGGAGCCCTACCCATGTCCTGATTCCCTAACCCTAAGACTGTTAAAGGGGAGCCCTACCTATGTCCTGATTCCCTAACCCTAAGACTGTTAAAGGGGGCCCTACCCATGTCCTGATTCCCTAACCCTAAGACTGTTAAAGGGGAGCCCTACCCATGTCCTGAATTCCCTAACCCTTAGACTGCGAAAGGGGAGCCCTACCCTTGCCCTGATTCCCTAACCCTAAGACTGTTAAAGGGGAGCCTTACCCTTATCCTGATTCCCTAGCCCCTAAGCATGTTAAAGGGGAGCCCTACCTAATCTTAAGACTGTTAAAGGGGAGCCCTACAGATGTCCTGGTTCCCTAACCCTAAGCATGTTAAAGGGGAGCCCTACCCATGTCCTGATTCCCTAACCCTAAGACTGTTAAAGGGGAGCCCTACCTATGTCCTGATTCCCTAACCCTAAGACTGTTAAAGGGGGCCCTACCCATATCCTGATTCCCTAACCCTAAGACTGTTAAAGGGGAGCCCTACCCATGTCCTGATTCCCTAACCCTTAGACTGCGAAAGGGGAGCCCTACCCTTGCCCTGATTCCCTAACCCTATGACTGTTAAAGGGGAGCCCTACCCATGTCCTGATTCCCTAACCCTAAGACTGTTAAAAGGGAGCCCTACCCATGTCCTGATTTCCTAACCCTAAGACTGTTAAAGGGGAGCCCTACCCATGTCCTGATTCCCTAACCCTTAGACTGCGAAAGGGGAGCCCTACCCTTGCCCTGATTCCCTAACCCTAAGACTGTTAAAAGGGAGTTCTACCCTTGCCCTGATTCCCTAACCCTATGACTGTTAAAGGGGAGCCCTACCCATGTCCTGATTCCCTAACCCTAAGACTGTTAAAAGGGAGCCCTACCCTTGCCCTGATTCCCTAACCCTATGACTGTTAAAGGGGAGCCCTACCAATGTACTGGTTACCTAACCTAAGACTCTAGAAGGGGCATTGTACCTATGCTTTGGTTCCCTTATCTGAAGACTCTAATATGGAAGCCAGCCCTTTCCTTACCCTAAGACACTTGAAGGGGTGCTATACCCTTGTTCAGGCTCCCAAACCCCAAGACACTTACAGGAGAGCTATATTCTTGCTCAGGTTCCCTAACCCTAAGACACTTAAAGGGGTTCACTAACTTTACTCAGGTTTCTAACCCTAATTCATTTAAAGGGGTTCCCTCGCCATAAACTAGTTCCCTGCCCTTGAGACTCTTGACCCTTGAGCCCTTGCCCTGGTAACCTAACCCTAAGAAACTTAAAGGGGTGCTCTACCCTTGCTCAGGTTCCCTAACCCTAAGACACTTAATGGGGTTCACTGCCTTTGCTCAGGTTCCTAACCCCAACACACTTAATGGGGTTCACTGCCTTTGCTCAGGTTCCTAACCCTAAGACACTTAATAGGGTTCACTACCCTTGCTCATGTTATCTTACCCTAAGACACTAACCCTAACCCTAACCCTAACCCTAACCCTAACCCTAACCCTAACTCTAACCCTAACCCTGCTTTACATTTGCTCAGGTTCCCAAATCCTAAGACACTTAAAGGGGTTCACTACCTTTGCTTAGGTTTCTAACCCTAAGACACTTAATGGGGTTCACTACCTTTGCTCAGGTTCCTAACCCTAAGACACTTAAAGGGTTTCGCTACCTTTGCTCAGGTTCCTAACCCTAAGACACTTAAAGGGTTTCGCTACCTTTACTCAGGTTCCTAACCCTAAGACATCTAAAAGGGGTTCACTACCTTTGCTTAGGTTTCTAACCCTAAGACACTTAATGGGGTTCACTACCTTTGCTCAGGTTCCTAACCCTAAGACACTTAAAGGGTTTCGCTACCTTTGCTCAGGTTCCCAAATCCTAAGACACTTAAAGGGTTTCGCTACCTTTGCTCAGGTTCCTAACCCTAAGACACTTAAAGGGTTTCGCTACCTTTGCTCAGGTTCCTAACCCTAAGACACTTAAAGGGTTTCGCTACCTTTACTCAGGTTCCTAACCCTAAGACACTTAAAGGGTTTCGCTACCTTTGCTCAGGTTCCCAAATCCTAAGACACTTAAAGGGTTTCGCTACCTTTGCTCAGGTTCCTAACCCTAAGACACTTAAAGGGTTTCGCTACCTTTGCTCAGGTTCCTAACCCTAAGACACTTAAAGGGTTTCGCTACCTTTACTCAGGTTCCTAACCCTAAGACATCTAAAAGGGGTTCACTACCTTTGCTTAGGTTTCTAACCCTAAGACACTAAATGGGGTTCACTACCTTTGCTCAGGTTCCTAACCCTAAGACACTTAAAGGGTTTCGCTACCTTTGCTCAGGTTCCCAAATCCTAAGACACTTAAAGGGTTTCGCTACCTTTGCTCAGGTTCCTAACCCTAAGACACTTAAAGGGTTTCGCTACCTTTGCTCAGGTTCCTAACCCTAAGACACTTAAAGGGTTTCGCTACCTTTACTCAGGTTCCTAACCCTAAGACACTTAAAGGGTTTCGCTACCTTTGCTCAGGTTCCCAAATCCTAAGACACTTAAAGGGTTTGGCTACCTTTGCTCAGGTTCCTAACCCTAAGACACTTAAAGGGTTTCGCTTCCTTTACTCAGGTTCCTAACCCTAAGACACATAAAGGGTTTGGCTACCTTTGCTCAGGTTCCTAACCCTAAGACACTTAAAGGGTTTCGCTACCTTTGCTCAGGTTCCTAACCCTAAGACACTTAAAGGGTTTCGCTACCTTTACTCAGGTTCCTAACCCTAAGACACTTAAAGGGTTTCGCTACCTTTGCTCAGGTTCCTAACCCTAAGACACCTAAAAGGGGTTCACTACATTTGCTCAGGTTCTTAACCCTAAGACACTTAAAGGGTTTTGCTACCCTTGCTCAGGTTCTGAGACACGTAAACTGGATGCAGATCTCAGTGGTGGGTGGGGTAGCCACGTTCACTGTGTGCTGATGTTGGTGGGTGTGGTAGCCATCCCGACTGAATGCAGGTTTAAGTGTTGGGTGGGCTAGCCACCTTCACTGTTTGTTCGTTGGTGTGGCAACAATCTCGATAGGGTGAACACATCAGTGGTGGGTAGGCCCTTCTAATAAAGCCAAACACAGCCCACCCTTCTAATTCGGTATATCTTAACTGAAAATAGGCCATTTAGGCTTGAAACGAATTTGGCATTGTCCACTTCATATCTTGAAAACCAATTAACGAGATAACACTTGTAAAGCAAACCCATTTAAAATAAAGTCAAGTTCCTTTACCAACAGATGTTACCAGTTATTGCTGTGCTTATTTGAGAACCGCACACAGCCCACCCTTCTAATTTGGTATATCTTAACTGAAAATAGGCCATTTAGGCTTGAAACGAATTTGGCATTGTCCACTTCATATCTTGAAAACCAACTAACGAGATAACATTTGTAAAGCAGACCCACTTAAAACAAAAGTCAAGTTCCTTTACCAACAGATGTTACCAGTTATTGCTGTGCTTTTTGGAGAACCGCACACAGCCCACCTTTCTAATTCGGTACATCTTCACTGAAAATAGGCAATTTAGGCTCGAAATAGGTTTGCAACTGTCCACTTCATATCTTGAAAACCAATAAACAAGATAACATTTGTGAAGTAAACCCATTTAAAACAAAAGTCAAGTTCCTTTACCAACA